TGATGATGATGATGATGATGATGTAACCTTCTTTTATATATGACAGATCAATAGCTTTACATTTTTATGAGAGTTACTGTTTTCTTTCAGCTATGCTGGTGATTGTGATATATCATTCACTGTTGGAGGCATTAAGGGAGGCATCAAAGATTTCCAGGTACATGAGTATAACAACATTTTCCATCTTGTTTCTTCATAATTTTTGTATGCAGTTTGTGATATTTTTCTTATCTCAAGTCTCTATATTGGTCAAGCATGAGAAAAAATGTTGACCCTTGACCACTCTCCTATACTGAAGTCAATGACTTTTGTCCGTGTTATGACTGTTATCTGTGTCTATTCCCATCCTACGTTCCCACATGTCTCTTTCCTTATGGTTTTCTATTTTGTTGCCATTCAGACTTCCATCTCTTTGTGGAGAGCAATTTATGACTAATTGCAACTTTACTGTAATTGTTGGAGCCAGTGTCTATTATCGGTGGAAATTAACATTGAATTCCTAAATGAAGTTACACAACTCACCAGATTGCATGAAAACTCTTTATGGTGATGTTTTAATAGCTTAATATGATTTATACATGGTATTTTTCATTTTAACTTTTAGATCCATGGTATGATGCGAGTGGTAATGAAGCCACTTATCACATCAATGCCATTGGTAGGAGGCCTTCAAGTGTATTTCCTCAATAATCCAACCATTGACTTCAATTTGGTTGGTATGGCAGATCTTTTGGATATGCCTGGTCTGAGGTAATAGAATTATCAATAGAAAATTTTGAACATATTAAAATATAAATTGTATCCTTGGTCTTTCCTTAAAAGTAAGTTTCTTTCAGTACAGTAACACATTTAGAATTTTATTTCAAGAGGTTGTTTCAAAAATGGATCAACAGAAATACAGTAGATTCATAAATCAATTGTGCAGACAAATTTTGCTCCCATCATAACAGCCCTTTTTAACTCTTTAAACCTCGTAATTTAATAGACTATAGTAAAACTGAAAGAACTTTGCTCACGAATATCCACAGAAAGCTACAAAAAGTATGATGTCCCACATGGGGGGGGGGTTAAGAAAACGGTTAAATTACTTCCTCGGCTGTTGCTTCATTGGCTAGGTGCGCGCAGTTCACAGGGCTTGTCAGGAGGACGCAGGTGCGAAATGCGGTAAGGAAGGAAATCACATCAACAAAGATCCACATTCTCACCCTATGCTACCCTATAGTAGTTATAAACAATCAATATACAGCTATATACATTATAAAGAACCAACTGGTGTCGGGTTACATATTACACCTTCCTAGGCAATTCTTTGGACCTCATCTTTGCCTTCCTTTCACCCAGTTGCGGGTCGCTAGTCTCCTCTTTTCCCTGTTCTACTCATTCATGTATCTCCACTACACCTCTCTCATCCCCTGCGTATATATATTGTAACGTGTTTCGTTACTGAATACGCCGTAGAGATGGTTAATTGGTTTATTCAACAATCTACAAGTAATGGCTACAATTACTTATCACACAGTTGCGGAGTTTCACACTTTATAACCCTAATCGCATTAATCTGTTGCCACTGTTGCGGGGTTTCACACTTTATAACCCTATGCGCAAATCAGCTCACTCTGTCTTCAGTAGTCTACACGTATACAGTAGGGGAGCTATGTATCACTGTATCACACACACTCCCAATTACACAATTACACACACGTCCGGTTCTTCTTTCCACGACGGCTGCTATACTCCAACTGTAGTCTGCTCACTGGAGAACTGTTGATAACACACTCGCTCGTCTACTACTTTGAGCACTGTTGTAGCCACAAGACAACTTGACTCGGCGACTGTTACTTTACCACTCGACTCGGCGACTGGTGCCGTGTTGCTAGCCACGCTGTCCGGAGTTGTTGACTGCTGCCTAGCAACCGCGATATCCCTCGGTGATGTCACCGCTGACTCACTTTGCATAGCTTCAAGGCTGCGGGGACTCGGCTAACGTCGGCTCCGCTCGGCTCACTTCGGCTCCGCTCGTGACATCACCGCGCGTTGCATAGCTACCAGGATGCGGGGTGATTACTCGCCTATTACGCGAGCGCTATGTTACCGCTACGTGCAGCTGGGGAGGTAGGGGTCAACATGTCACAATATATATATATACATACATACATATATCTTTACACCTGCCTGCAGTGATCTTCCCTGCATCGAGGCACACCCTCTGCAGTCTCTATATTACACATGTCTACTTCTGCATTCCTCTGATGAGTCACTCTTATGCCCTGTACACTTGTTGTAACCTTCCTAACTCATGTCCCATTGGGGAAGTTACACTTTAATAATATCACAATTAAATAGCATGGCGATAAGAGTAGTTCCACTTACTTTGCGTTGAGACTGCAGATGGACGGCGTTGCCCGGCATCCAGTCAACGCTTCTTCCAGCATAGCCTCCGGCTACAACTGCCCAAAATTACTGTTTGAATAGTCCCGTTACTAATTTGCTCCCCAGGTTGTGTACCTTTATTTTTGCTAACTCGTTATTTTCCTGGAGGGTGCAAGTCTGCCTACAATGATGTTATGTCCCAAGGTGGCTAGCTCTCGTTGGCTGGGATCCTTAGGGGTGGACACGCCCCCTTACGGCTAGTCCATTTGGCTAAGCACTTTTACCTCCAAACGTTCCGCCATCACTCAAGGTATGTTTTGTAGAGCTAGAATTTCGATATACCTTCAACGTCATTATGCTGACAGGACATCCCCGCGTCACGGGTCAACGTCCGTCTAACTCCATACGTAGAAATTCTTTGAAGCTTCTTAACCCTTCTCTACATTCTCTTTCATACGTCTTACTGGTAATTCCAAAAATACTTATTCTATTCTAGCCCTCATTTTCCCCTAAAATAAAAATTAAATACTCTTTTAACATGTCACCGGGAGTCGGCCTTCAGGGCACAACATTGGGGATTAGAGATTATAAAGTCAAGCTAAGGCCATGTCACAAGTTGCATCATGCCCATGCGCTTGTTATACAGTAAAACCTGCCTTAAACGGACCCTTTATTAAACGGAAATCTGTCTTAAATGGAAATATTTTCAGGTCCCTTGACTTTGGGGCTGAAAAAGATGTTAAATAACATTAAACGGAAACTGTCTAATGTGGACAACGGAAATCAAAATAAGCCCTTATGCAGAAAACTTCCGGTCTTCTGGAATGCATCGTTTAGAGTAATTTTAGGCATCCTATACATTCTACAGAATTTTGTTTTCCCTAACTCTTTAAAATAAGCTTCTAACGGTAGTGCACTACCTGCACTGAGATTCAGCAGAATTGTTTTCCCCTTCTGGAAATTGTATTCAGTAAGGGCTCTAGGCCTACAGTTTTACTTTAGTCTAGCAGTTCTCATCATGGCTACAAAGACAAAGAATTGTGCTTGATCTTAACACAAGATTAAAAGTGATTCAAGTGAGCGAGATAAATTTTCTGTTAAGCAGATCATGAAGATGTTTAACGTTGGTAAAACTCAAGTGTATGAAATTCTAAAGAAGAAAAGGGATATTCTGAAGTGGTGGGAAACTTGTGCTAATGGAAAAATAAAAAGAGAACTTAAGAAAACTGCAAATGAAGACATTAATGAAATAGTGTGGGAGTGGTTTGTCAGTGTGAGGGCGAAAAATCACCGGTTGTCGGGTCCTGTGGTACAGGAATATGCTAAAAAATCGCTGAAAAACTGGGGATGACTGAATTCAAAGCATCTAACGGATATTTGGAGAGTTTTCGCAAAAGACGTCGGATAGTTTTTAATGAACTTTGTGGTGAATCAAGTGATGTAAATAGTGAGACCATTGAGGAATGGGAAGCTAAATTGTCATCCATGATCCTGGGATATGAACCTGAAACCATAGCGAACGGTGATGAGACTGGACTGTTCTTCCGCCCTCTTCCGAATAAATCGCTATGTCTGAAAGGTGAAAAAGTTTGGGAGGAAAACTGTGCAAACAAAGATTGACTGTTTTTCTGTGTGGTTTTATGTCAGGTGAAATGGAGAAAACCTTAGTGATTGGCAAGGCAGCAATGCCACGATGCTTCCGAAACATGGACATACAGAAACGTCCCGTTGAGTGGAGATCCAACAAAAGGGCATGGATGACGTCACAGATCATGGAGGAATGGTTAACGGCCTTCAATGGTAGAATGAGAATGCAAAACCGGCATGTTTTGTTGTTCTTGGATAATGCAACATGCCACCCCCATATCGAACTTTCCAACGTGCGACTTGCTTGGTTCTCTCCGAACACCACTAGTGTTTCTCAACCAATGGATCAGGGCATCATTTGGAATGTTAAGGTCCACTATCATAAATTATTAATACAATCTTTGCTCGTCAATATAGATTCTACATCATCCGCCTCTGAACTTGCAAGAACTGTCTCGGTTCTAGATGCGGTTATTTGGATAAGTCAAGCAGTAAAGAAGTTGTTACCAGAAACTGTGACAAAGTGTTTCGAAAAAGCAGGATTTTCTACGGTAGAAGTTACTCCTAGTGTAGAAAATGAGAATGACCAGAAGGCCTTACAACATTGTGTGAATGAAGCTGCTTTCAGTAACTGCAATGCTGAGGGCTACATCAAGATAGACAAAGATATGCAAACAGAACCAGACACAATGGATATCGATGTATTAGTTGAGAATTTTAGAGAAAATCAAAAAGGAAGAGAGGAGGAAGAAGAGGAAGAAGAGGAAAATGACATTGTGATAGAAGAAGAAAAGTGTAGAGTGAAGACTTATCAGGATGCTGCCAACAGTTTAAAGGTACTGCAGGAGTTTGCCATGCAACGGAATGATTCAGACATGCTTACTCTAATTTCTCAAGCTAAAGTGTTTGTGGAAAGTCAGGCAGCCAAGAGAGTAAACTGCCGGAGTTCTGGTAAAATTATAAAAAGTGAGTACTGCAATTTTTTCCTGTTCAGTGTAATGTTTGCATGTGTTCAATGATTATAGTGTGAATAAATTAATGAGCATATTGTTTTGTTTTGTCTCAAATACGTTTATGTCCTGGTTTAGTTATTATAGTATACCTTGATTAAATGGAAACCTGGCTTCAGCGGAAATTTTTTCTGGTCCCTTGAGATTCCGTTTAAGACAGGTTTTACTGTGTATTGAGATGCAGATACGAAGGTAAGATGATGGGATTGTTTGAGTTTTAAACTGCAATATGCAGGCTGTGAAACAAATGTCATACACTGAAAGAAGTTTGCTTCTTGTTATACATTCTGAATAGATTTATGAGTCTCTGTGGTGTAATTGGAAATTTCCATGACAAAGAAATTGGATGTGTTCACAGTGACATTCTACGCCGTGTCATTGTGGAACAAGTGGCTAGTATGATGGTGCTGCCCAATAAATTGCCCATTAGATTAAGTGATGATGTTCCTGCAACAGTTCTTAAGATGCCAGAACCAGAGGTTTGTATTAGTAATGATAATTTTATTATTTTATATCTTGCACTATCATAAACGTCAGGACCCAGGAACTGAACCCCAGCAGTTACGTAACTCACTCACCAACCAACTCACTAACTCAGTCACTCCACTTATTGACTGAACTCATTCCTCAAGGTCAAAGTCAAAGTCACATTGTGACTGATGGTCAGTCAGTAAGTCTTGGTGTTGAGCTCCATCTGTGACTTATGACCAGATGTTTATTACTGTTTGACAGTTACGATCTTGTTTCTGTGGGTCGCCTTCTCTGATGAGAGGATGGGTCTGTCTTTTGTATATGCTGCTGGCACTTGTCAGCGCAGTCTTTCTCGGGTCTGAATCCCTTGGGACTCATGACAGTATTGTACTGTCTCAGATTTGAGACTTCCCAGCACCTCCTATGACTCATAGGGTCACAGTGGAGGTATTCGACCCCTGCCAACAGGACTGACCCCCCCCCCCCAAATGCTTCCCATAGTGTGGAAGTTTACATTTTGGGTGATGATAAAAAGTTACTATCATTCTGCATAGGAAATGGTGAGCTGGAATATTTAACGGGCATGGGGACTAAGCTTAGGACTTGGATCAAGGAATTGGGGTTTTAATTCCAGGCAGAGGCAAGTGATATTTCTCTTCTTTTAACCAGCACTGGGGCCCATTGTACTTTCTGTCCAGTGGGCACTGAAGAACTTTAGCCCCAAGGTTAAAGCTGCTGGAACATGAAAGTGACAACGCATTTCAATCTAGTACTGAGGTTAAGATGCAGGGAACTATATTTCATTCCCACAATGTCTTCATTAGTTTGTGCTTAATTTTTTATAGGAATTGAAACAGTTCTCTTAGATTTTTAGATACCTGCCTGAATTTAAAATCCAAGGAAAGGAAGTTTTGAAATGAGCACATATAGATAAAATTGATAGTATATACATGGCTGCATGTTGTTTAGCTTTATTTCTGTTTATTAGGGTGTGTTGCGTGTACATGTTGTGGAAGCAAAGCAGCTGATGAAGATGGACATTGGTGTTCTGGGCAAGGGCAAATCTGATCCATATGTCATCATCACAGTAGGAGCCCAGGAGTTCCGCTCTCAGACAATTAACAATACTGTGAATCCAAAGTGGGACTTCTGGTGTGAGGTGAGGCCTTGCTGTCTTACTCTCTGTCAGTCTTAGTTATCAGCAGATGTAATTCAACAATTGCCTTCTTTTAATACTTGATAGGAGGCATCAAAGAGAAAACTGGAGTTTTATTCAGAATATGTGACCCTTATCAGTATTTAAGAAATGTTGATAGAGGATCTGATGTCTAGTGTTCCAAATTTATAATATCTGCATTATTAGCCATATAAATATGTTGCTTAAAAATAAAATAATGTTCTTTTAACTTGATATTACTAATATAATCCAGCCTACCTGTAAACATAAATTGAGTAACCTATCTCTCAAGTGCTTGGCTTTTGAATTTCATTGTTGGTGTCATATTTTTAGCAGTGTTTTTTATCGTGCCTGTACTTGGTGTATTGTTATGTTTGTTCAACACACAATGTACAGCAAGGGTCAATTGTGATTGAATAATCATGAAATACACACATGACAAATGCTGTGATATGCTCATGACTCTTGAGAACTATAATAGTTCGGCTGGTACTGGTGCATGGGAATATGGAGCATGTTTTCATGGTTGATGTCATGTATTTTGACCATTGGAACAGTGTCAACATGTGACAGGAAATGTGACACCTATGCCACGTGTGAATATAAGTTACCCGCTCAGTCAGTGAAGATGCCATAATTGCAGCTGTGCAATGAGAGCTGTGAAGAAGCTCATGCGATATCATATGAGAATTGGTACTATCCCAACCAAGGGTCCTCAAAGTATTTTGTGACTATCACTTGCATGCATACTGCTACCTGTAGAACAAACATCTGTTTCCAGACAATTTTACAGATACAATTTTGTGAATGGCTGTGACATCAAAACACTGGTTGAACTCTTTTTTGCATAGTGTTCTGTAGATAGATGACGCATATTGTATATGTGGGGGTGTGTAAGTCATCCACACCAGTCTTTTCTGGGCATAGAATAATCATTATATCAACCGACATGAGTGTCAAGTCTGCTTTATCATCAGTGTTGGGGCTGGAGTTAATGGCAACATTGTTGTGGGCCCCTGTTAGCTGTTGGGCTGACTGCCCAACAGTATCATGATTTTCTGGAAGCTGTTCTGCTGGGAATGCTTGAAGTTGTGCCTCTGGATGTGAGGCAGAAAAAAAATGGTCACCAACCTAGAGGAAATGAAAGCCAGCCAAGAACACCTGAAGGAAGAATTCTGGCCAATATGGAAACCAACCAAGGAAGGATAGATTTTATGTTAGATGCCGATCACAAAAAGATCAGGATGGACTCCTAGCTAGACAAAATGGTGATCGTTGTGAATGTCTTCGAGGAAAGGTTGAACACTACGGACACCATGGATTTGGAGGCCAATGGAGAGAAGGCAAAGGCCTGTCTGAAGTAGACAGGGGCCTACCCCAGAAAAAATAGAGTCTGAGTTGGAGTGTCAGGAAGTACCTAAGGAAGAAGCCACATTGGAAAATATCAGAGCACTGGAGGACTGAGATGGGGACTGGCATTTAACCATAGGGCATTGCCAACAGCTGAAGAACTGGACCCAGGGCGATTGTGAGTCCTGGAAGAAGTTGGCCACTGGCCACGGACGGATGACACGGCATAAGGGTTACAGTCATAAAGGACTGATGGTCAAGAAGAGACAACAGAAGGGCCCAGGATGCAACAGTGGCATAAGGAACTGAGACCTGAAACAGCAGGTATGCCTGGGAAGCAAGAAGACATTCTCTGAGGCCCTTGGAAAGACCATCGGGCTGGAGATCATCAAGCTAGCAGTGGATCTTTCATGAGGATTAAAAAAATGAGTGTTAAGTTATGGAGGAGCCAGCTGCTGCCCAAACAGAAGAAGACTACTAGCAGCTTAAGAGCCATAGATATAGGACTATCAACCACTCTTGGGATTTTTGTCTGCACCAACTGGAGGAAGATAATGGTGGTACACCTGGACTGGTTCACACCTTATCAGGGAACTGCTCAGGACAAGTGGCCTTAAAGAGGGAGCAGTTGGAGAGTACTCAGCATGAGAACTGAGCCACGGGAAAGGAAGGTGAGACTGATCACAGACATCTCAAGCACATTCCCAAGAAAAGAAGAAATGGCAGTATGGCTGTAGACTGTTCAGGATGAAGAGCCTTAAGGAGGGAGAAATGTGGCATATAGAATAGTTACTAGGGAAGGACCTTGAAACAAATAACAAGTCAATGGCCATTGATGAGCAACAGCTGGAGCTGTTGCTAGACAGTGACGTGCATGCAACAATGGAAGTAATAATATAAGTGGCGTTTGCTACGTGGTCTGCTCTGAGGCTATATCACAGAGTGTGTGAATTAGCGATAGCACTATGGTTACTTGTAGTTATATTGTGTAAGAGTTCAGTAAATCCAAATATCAATCCAAACCTTGTCTGTAGTCGCTCTGTCACATGAGAGTATCTTGCTGCATCAGTAATGCATGTGTGTATGCAATCTGAATTTCTTAAAAAATAATTTTGACAAAATTTGTTTTTGTTTTGTGATTTGTGCTAAATTTTGAATATTTGTCTCAAATTTCTTTAAGGGTGAAATTCTGTAACCTGAACATCAGTAATGTAGGACAAGTTGTAAACAGTTTCAAGAATTGTGTTATATACCCATCTTTGTTGATCTATATAAATGTGCTAATCATAGTCATACAGTTTTAATTTGTTTGGAAAACTATACAATTTTATATGATGAAATGTTCTGTGTTTAAACATTCAGTTTATTTTAATGCAAGAAATGCTATTTTACAAAAGTTTAGTTACATCATTACCTATTAGATGTAGTTATTAGAACAGTAGTTTTAAAATTACATCTTTTTTGTGACTCTCTGTATATGAACACACAGATTACTGTCATTTTCCTTATACTCAAATTGCACCACATGAAGAATCTGTTGCAACATGATTAACATTGCAGATGAAACCAGTTATAGTAGCAACATATTGACATTTTAAAGATCAACATAACTTTTGGCATAAGTGATGGAATTTTGTGTAGGAAAGATATACATATATAAGATGGTAGTAAAGATTTTAAGGCCTTGTTTGATTCTTTCAGATTTCAGTTGAAAACTGTTTCGTTTTACAAGAATAACTGCTCATATAATATTTTTACTATTTCATGGCAACATAATCACCTATCATTTTGAATTTACAGAATGCTCCATTTTACTCTATTACATGAGTTACTAGATAATGAAAAAGGTTTGTCAGCATAAGAAGATAGAGTGTCAGACATGTGGATAAGACTATTGGAACCTTATTTTCCTTATATGTAGAAACGTGCTCTTTTGATTTGCACCACTGCCACATACCTCAGGTCATGATTGACATGTTTTTGCATTTTTAACAGCAGTGAAATTTTTAATACGCTAATAGCCATACATGTCTCATTTCCCATCCAGTATGACTGCATACTTCAGCTTTAATTGTTTTAGAGCACACAAAACTTGGCAGAAAAGAAGAATAACAGCTGTGAGATTGCTGCATTTTATGAATCTGTTACTTAATACAGAAATTAATGGTGACATTATTATCAATATTGTAGGCTAAACAGCTTCCCAAATTGTTGTTGTAAATATGTCAAATAATCCTATTTATTTTATAGATAATGCCTTTATTAGCTTGGTTGTGCTTTGTGTGTCTTTCTAAGTTGAATTTCATTTGTAATGTTGGTAGCAGAATCATTTCTTGCTATGTAGAATGTATGTATGTGTATATGAATATTGGTGTTAATAATTGTTTAATTTTTTTATTTTGGTTATTTTGTGCTAGCATGGAAAGCTTATGTATGTTAATGGTACTGGTAAATATTTGACATAAATCTGGTTTTAGAACAAGATAGTATATCTTCAGTTGATTTTTGAGATTTCTGAGAAATCTTTATTATCGTGACAGGTAATGGTCTGGTTTCCTTTGGTGATAAATTTCATACTTAGTATCTCATTTTTGTTGGTAGTTGCAGGAAGAACCCACAGTTATTTGCAGCCACTTTATCCCCAGAAGTATGAGGTGTCTGGCAGAATGTAGGTTGCCATGAAATTTAAAAAAATGCATATGTTTTTGTTGTTATTATTATTAATATTATTGTTGTTGTTGTTGTTGTTGTAAGTAAAAATAAGTGCATATAATACTATTTGTTTCACTGAAATTTAAATATATTTTTTATTAAACTTGTAATATCAGCAGCTTAGATTATTTATAAACATTTACATATATAATTTACAGACATGATAAATGAATCTGTTAAAATGAAATACTAAACAAGAAGTTCTGGGAAGAACAGTTGCTTGCATTTCTTTCACTACAGTTTGAATATTTTAGCAGTTTGAGAGGCTATGATGTTGGTGTTATTGATGGGGTTTTGTAGTGCACCAATGATAGTGGCTCAAGTGCCACGATATATATATCATGTTATGCACAGTATATCACTAAAGGTTGCAGTGCAGGTGCTAGCAGTTGGGCCCACTTTGTGTGTGTGTGCGTGCTCGCGCACATGTGCGTGAGAGAGAGAGCAGGTTCATAAAGTTTGGTGCAGGCATTCAAAATTGTTGGGGGGCGGGGATACCACAAACAGCAAGGTGATCTCATAAGCCTAATTTTGTTTTTTGTTTGTTTTTTTTTTTTCAAATAAGGAAGGGGGGGGCAAAAATTACAACTGGCAAGTAAATACCATGTTTTTAAGTTCTCAGCATGCAACATAAATATGGATTGTTTTCTGTTTATTTTTATTTTTATTTTATAATTCTTTAAAATAACTAATTTGTTAATATTTGGACTGAAGAGAGATGAAGTGAAGGGAGGTTGGAAAACACTGCATAATGAAGAGCTTCATAACTTGTACTCTTCACCAAGTATAATTATAATGATCAAGTGAAGGAGGATGAGATGAGCAGGACGTGTAACACGAATGTGGGCGAAGAGGACTGCATGTGGGATATTGGTGGGAAAGCCAGAAAGAAAGAGACCACTGGAGCAAGACATAGGTGGGTGGATAATATTAAAATGGATCTTAGAGAGATAGGATGGGGTGGTATGGACTGGATTGATCTGCCTCAAGATAGGGACCAGTGAAGGTCTCTTGTGACCACAGTAATGAACATTCACGTTGCATAAAATGCTGGGAAGTTCTTGAATAGCTGCACAGCTGGCAGCTTCTCAAGAAGGGCTCAGCTCCATGAAGCTAGTTAGTTAATTAGTTAGCAGAATAGTAAAAGTAAATTTAAAAATTGCAAAATTTTGGATATTTTAATTTATTATTGGAGAGACTTGGATATCTAGCCACTTTATGTAAATTCGAAACATGAGGCCGTTATTCCAGGAAAGAAATGCCTAGACTTTGGCATGTAGGCTATTATCATTATGGATTTGTTGTGTTACTTCTCAGTGTGTTTTATTGTGACCTTTGTGTTAATTAATTTTACTGAATACCATATAACATGTTTAGTCATTCGTTGCTGACCCATTGTGTGCTGGTGTGTTTGCAATTATTGAGCAGTTGTGATGTAAAACGTCCTACACCATGTTTTATGGCCCCCCTTGCCTGCTTGTTGCCCCCCTTAGAGCATCGTGTATGAGTCGCAAGGCCAGGCGTTGGAGGTGCATCTGTACGACGCAGATGATTTGTCCAAGAAAGATGAGAGACTAGGCAGGTGAGAGATGGTGCACATGGTGACATATTTATAACAGTTTGCCCTAGGGTGGCCACCATTAATAACTGATTGCTTGCTTATATAAGTACACCACATTGAAATTTAATTTTGTATATAAATAATTTTGAAGTATGTTGATAAGTGTACTACAGTACTCTTCCCTTTGCCTTGTAAAGTAAGATGATGATAATGGCATAATAATATGTCGCTGGGAACACCAACATGGAAAGAGATCCTCCGAAGTTGAGTACACATATTTGTTTGTGATTTTGTGTACCAGATTGGCCTTAATATTCATTTATTACTGATTCAAATATATTATTTCATCTGGAAGTCTACTATTGCAAAGGTCTTCACATTTATAAACTTAGAAAATATTTTGTTGAATTTCATGAGCCATAGCAAATATCCATCTGTGTAATATACCAGTAAATTTCTTGCCAAGAATGTTGACAGTTTTGACATCTGAAGGTTTTTTCAGTAAGAAGTTTTGTTTCTTTGTCATTGTGTTCTGACTGATCTTTTGTATTCGATTATCTGGTTGCTTTCATAAGTGTGGCACTGTGTGTTTGTCTTTCTTTGTGTAACAAATGATGATAATTTTGTTTTGAACCTGGGTACAACGGAAACTTCTCTTGTTTCTCTCTCTCTCTCTCTTTGTGTGTGTCCCCCACCCTTCAGATTTTACTAGTGTTCTCTCAATATTCAAACTTAGCTCAAAGGATTCATATCCTAGCAAAAGGGATAGTGCATAAAAGCCTTCATGTGATGGTCATAAGCTGAGGCAAAGTGAATGTGTTTGTATGTTACCAAATGGCATGCCAGACATCAAACTGCATTTATACTGTGGTGGACATTATTTACATTCACAAGTGAACCACACAATGCAATTGAATGGTGTTTAATTTTTTATAAAACTAGAATCCATGTACAAAATGAACTAGAACATGGCATGTGGTTAGTATTTTTCAGATGGTTTGCTAGATCAACTCTGCAGTCAATGATCAAGCGGTTTTCTGCATGTTATCCACTCTCTATATAAAATTTGTCTGCAGAGAAAGTTCATATGAAGGCTGTGCCATAGCTCAAGCGGTTAGTCGCTGGCTTCCCACCGTGGCGGCCCGGCTTCAATCCCGGGTCTGGTCAAGTGGGATTTGTGGTGGACAAAGTGGCACTGGGGGTGGGTTTTCTCCGAGTACTTCGGTTTCCCCTGCCAGTCTTCATTCCACCAAATTCTCTGTCATAATCACCCAGGGCAGGCTACAACAGGCCAATCAATGGCCACCATGCTGGGTGGACCCAGTTGGACTCCCCCCCCACTAAGCGAAGTTCAAATGAAGTGTTGAAATCTTGATATTACATTGTGCATTCACAGACTTTCTAAAGTAGTAAAAAATGTAAAGCTGTCCCTGTAACAGGCCGTGAAGGCTCATAGGGGTGTGAGAGGTCGAGGCTCCCACATCTTCTAGACAGTCGGCTCATGGGTGGTGGTAAGGTTGTTAGCCTTACACGCTGGATGCCCTTTAACCTGCGAGGAAAATTCACGGTACTCATTTCTGTTAGTCTGAGTTGACCCCAGGGCCATAGTGTGGCTGGAAGGATTAGGTCAATTGAAAAATCCAATGACCTCATTGGGATTTGTAGCATAGTGCCTCAACCAACTACACTACCTTCTAAAGGTAGTATCATATCTTCCACTATGATGATGTGTTAAAAACTAAATGTAAATATTGCTTTAAAATCCTTAAATGGTGGTCACCCAGGAGGATTATCACATTTTCTTCATGGAAATAGGTCTGTTGCTCTGTGAGTTATTATTACAGGTATATGACTGCAGAATCCTTTTTGTAAAGTACATGCAGTATGTCAAGTGGTAAAATTAAATAAATTGCAGTTCATTAATGTTTTGAGGGCGGTGTTTATAGAATTTTTAAAAGGAACTCTGCCAGATGTACAGCACAGATTTAGTATAGGAAAAGTACTTGTGGAATTAAGCCATAAACAGTGCACATTTATAATGTGATGCCATTTTGTCACTAAAGGAACACAGTGGTCAAAATTTCTGGGACAAAATAAGGGTAGGAATATAGTGAAGTAATTTGATTTTCTTCCTTGTCTGAGTACATACACATATCTGAAAATACATCACATCATTTGAAAACTAATTTTGTCATTATGTAATTAGTAAGTTATAAAAGATTATCAGCTCTGTCCAGTGTGATTGATAAATGATTTTTTCTCCTTTTTAATCTTCATCCTCGACATATTATACATACAGTATCATTACAATCTCATGGATATAAAATCTGAGCCTTTAACAACTACAGTGATGTGCATGAATATATTAAAATATTTATAAATTATTGTAATTAGTTTATTTACAAGTGTGGTTTGAAAAGACTTTGTTAAAATTTAGAACCAGATTTGGTTTGTGTCCTTTATACTGCCTCTTTAAAGGAAGTTGAGTGTCTACCACCTCATGGTTCTATCATTTGATAAGTAGGACTCTGCAAATATATTATGGATATATTGTAGTACATATTTCCATAATCCCGATTTTATTTAAATGTGAGCTTTTGTTATTTAATCCTACCTTTAGTGTCGTCCTGTGGTTCAGGCCATGCTGTGTTCTTATACTGTTCTAACATGTGTTGAGTTGCATATTTATACACCTTGTGCCTCATGACATTCGTGTGGGTGTGTACTGATGTTTTATTATGATGTTGAACATACTATACTGGTTATCACTTCTTTGTAAGTTTTTGCTCTTGTATCAGTTTATTAAGTTTATTAAAGTGATACGTGTGGAAGTTTTCTTTTATATTCATGAGATTCCCTTTTTTTTAGCATTCTCAACCATTTCCATGGTTACTGTTATAGGTTCATACTGGTGGCGTTTATTTACTATATGTTGGTCTTTGTTAAATCTTATATTTCTTATGTGTTCTGTATATCTTGTTGTTAGGTTTCTACTAGTTTGGCCAATGTATACTTTAGGACAGCTTTGGCAGGTTATTTTGTATATCCCACTTTGTTTATAATTGTTTCTGGCTTCTTATTTAATAATTTATCTATGGTGGAAATTGTTTTGAAGGCTATCTTTATGTGGTGTTTTTGAATAGTTTTGTGATATTTTGTATATAATTTCCTTTATAGGTAAATGTGACCCATTTTTGTTCTTTTTCTGCTTTATTTTCAAGATTATATTTCTGTTGTTTGAATTTGTTATGTAAATGTAAGATGTCTTCCTTCCTATAACCATTATTTAGTGCTATATTAATAATAGTGTTTAGGTTAAAAAGGAGGAAAAAAATTATCAACACACTGGACGGAGTTGATCACCTTTTATAATATTGCTAGTGTGATGGACCAGGATGAACCAAATCAAATAGTAAGTTTATTTTTATCATTTTTTTCTGTTTACAAGCTAACTAAATGGTAACAGAAACCAAATGTTGAACACATCCAGTACTGTACTGTCATCTGGGATATAATGCTGTGTAGCCCTTTGAAAGTCAACCCATGTTCTGTAGGAACATATCGCCTCAGTCTTCAGGTCTGAAGAATAAGCTGAGCAAGATATCAGCATGAAATCAGGTGGCAAGCAGAGCAATTGGCTAGGTGCAATTTTGAATTCAATAGAAGACAGGAGGCAGGTGGAAGAGTGGAGCTCAGTTCCCATTGGCTTGCCTCTAGGACAGAAAGAAACTGCTTTGCTCTCACACAGTGATCAAATGAACCAATAGGAGACAAGAACAGGAGGTTAGGTTGGCCCTGAAAAGGTGTGGTTTTGCTGGTCTAGGAAAAAGAGGGGAAGAACTGTAAGCATATGGTGGCTAGGGAACCAGTGCATAAGGGAGAGAAGTGGAGTGAGTTGTAGGCATATTGTGGGTGATTAGGGTGCAGAGGCAGTGGAGGGGAGCCGGAACCCCAGGCAGGAGGCTTAGGGCTAATGAGTACCTGCATGTAAAATGCCCAGTGTGCTGGTCTAGAAGATGAAAGGAGAGGTTGTAAGGGTGTGGAGAGCTGAGAACAGGAGTATGGAAGGGAAGTTGTATATGAATTGTGGGCATGCCACTGAGGATTAAGGAACAGGTAGCAGAGGGAAGCCAGGTCATTAAGGTGGAGGCTAGTGAGTTCTTGGAGATGGCATAGTTTGTGCTCTGATAAGGACAATGTGCACACACCTGTATGTCCCTGTGGAGAACCAAGATCCACCATTCTGTTCTGTCCACTTCCACTCTCATAATCCACCCCTGAGTTCCATCTTAATATTATCATCCCAACTTTTCATTCTTCCAATTGGCTGTTTTCCAAGATGTTTCATTTAGTTTCAGATCCAAACTTCACCATCAATATCATCTAAATGTGATATTGTATAGGCATAATTTTGTATCATTTGACATTTGTGTGCTATCTGATTTCTAATGACAGTGTTCCTATCAATGTCGGGAGTATTCGTCATTAAGATCTTTTACTGAACGTCACAGTGAAGTGGTATTTGTTTCATATTTGAGAGGTCGTGGGTTTCATTGTTGGGTTCGAGGCTGACTCTTCTGACAGATTTCAGTAATTTTCCTCAGTCCATCCAAGCAAAAAATGATACATTAAAATAAATTATTACTGTTTCCCTCTAGATTATTTTCAATTAATTGTTAACAGTCAGCCTGCCATTTGATGCTATGTATATAATCTATGCTGTTGGAAAATTCTTTTAAATTAATTAAATTGTTCAAAGTGCGTTATCTGCAATGTCTGTTCTAATTCCCACGTTTTTACCAGTTTTGATATCAGTAAAGCCTTTCTGTTCAGAAAAAGGAAGCCGACTTGCTCTCTACTCGTATCAGTAATTACCAGTCTTTTCCCATTTGTGTTCTATCAACAGTCCTTTAATTCTTGCACTTCTTCTGCGTCATAATTTCCATATATGACATAAAATGTCCAAAATTGTCAGTTCCAAAATCTCCCTATATATCAGTTGGTAATATTACTATTTTTTC